ACAAACATAAATTCTCGGCGACTGACCCGGCCGATGGCTTCATTCTGAGCTGATGGAGTAAGATCCCTAAGCTCGCCAGACCCAATCCGAGCAGAATTATGAGAAACAGGATTTGCTGGGGCCCGCAAAGTTCTCCAGACCAGAAGCTGCACAACGAGCGAGCTAGAAACGATTGAAAACTTCCAACCCAAAGCCTTAAGCCTTGAAGTACATTTGTCAGCAAATGCCACGTCCACAGGGCCCCCGGACATGGCCTTGCCACAGCTGAGGTCTCAGATGGTCAAGAGCAAGTTCGCCACTCCCCTGAAAGCCAAGAGCAAAGCGGTCACTTTGGATGCAGAGACGCCGCCAAAGGACTCTCGAAAGGGCGACAGACACAAAAGCTGCTCCACTTGTCGACTATATGGCAGAGCACCTCGGCTGCATTTCTTCCTCTGCATGCCCGGCCGTCGAGTTCCATCTTTGCTGGCCTGCTTCGGTTCAGGTCTGTACACATCGGAACCAGACCCCTGTCAAGAAGGAGCCCAAGATGGAGCAGCCAATCGTCAAGACGGAGCCGATAGAGGACACCCCCAATCCAAGAGTCGCATTTCTGAATATTCATGTGAGAAACAACAACATGCTGCAAGAAGCTTACAGGACAAGCCAGAACTATCGCCGGACGCTCTCATCTACATTCTGGGAAATAAATATTTGGCCGCTCAGGACGATGGGCCGCTAAGGTTGGAGCTTCTCCCCCCGCAGAATTCTTTCGTTCCTCCTTTCTGAGGACCCCAAACCTGTCGATCCTGAGAATCTGGACGAAGACATGCGAAGGCCTCGCTTCCGTCCGGCTTGAATTGCTGGTCCATTCTTCTTTGGCCGGTGTCGCCAGGTTGATGAAGTTGCCGCACTTCTTGTCCACGTCGGTCCAAGTTCTGAAGAGCAAGTCCAATTCCGATAGATACCAGAGCCTCGTGTCTCGGCACACTTGTTGGTTCCGAAATTAACCAGTATCGATCCTGCTGCTTGCGAGAAGGGGTTGTGCTCACAGGCTTCACTGATGGACGATCTCATCCCTCAGGCAGAAGAAATTGCTCAGGATGCGACAGCCTTGCGACGTGCTCAGATGGACTTTGTCGGCCGCACCAAAGACTTCATGAGCACGGCCATGGAGGACTTGAGGAAGGCAGTGCCGGAAGTCAGGCGACTCACTGGCGACGACCAGGATCCGCCTCCTTCCTTCAGTGACCCCCTGTTTTCATTCATGCAAGAGTTAGGCCCTTCTTTTACTGTTGTGACCGTGTCTTGTTCGCCTCGACCGCTTCTGCAGGACAAACCTGCCTTGAATGATTCCTGATGTTCCTGGACAATCGGCCTATCCCACCAGCGACAAGCACTTCGCCGATAAAGTTCACTTACTGTCGTCTGCGGCCTCAAGTTAGCAAGAACCGGGTCGCATGGCCTTTGTGCGGTGTGAGAGTTAGTGGGGGCACTGCTGGGCCACTCACACATAGACATACAGGCCTGACTGTGATTTCCGAGTTCGGCCGCTCGGTGTCTGCTGCCGGTCGATTCCGTATCAAAGCCAAGCAGGATATATGGGGACTTTCGTCCTGCGAAGCACGAGAAAAAGACGCACAAACTGCAGCTGCCTCCGCAACAGACCATCCACACGCATTCTTGCATCAGGCTTTGGAGGGTCGGCCAACGGTGTATACCCTGTGTGCTGCATGCGGCCTTGTTATTCCGTCTTCCATTTTGCTGCTTTGCATTCAATGCATCCTTGCCGTGCTTCGAGAGCATATCGGCTTTGATCCTTGCAAGCGCCATGCGGCGAATGAACACGAATGCCTCGCTGGCATCAGTCGCTTCCTCCCCCAATGCGGGCAGTCCGGGCAAGGAAAAACCGGAGCTCATGAGTGCCCTGGATTCCAGTGTTGATCGCATGAAGGCGGGCATGGTCGGATTCTGTTTTGAGCTGCTTCCTATTTGCAGTCCCATGCATTCTCGATTCAGGAGGATATGGCCGCCGGGATTCTGGCGAGCAAGAGGGCCAGAGAGAGACTCATGAATAAGGACAAGAAGAAGAAGAAAAAGTCGAAGAAGACTGCCAAGAAAAAGAAAAAATCCAAGAAGAACTCCAGCAGTAGCAGCAGCCAGGAAGACTCCAATTCGGAGTCAGATTCAGGCCGTTCTGATTCGGAGCCGGACGAGATGACTCAGGATTCCATCATGGAGGAGCTGAAGCTGCAGTTGGGTCTGAAAGGCAAAGATTTGAAGCTGAAAGACATGGTGTCTTTCGAGAACATGACCTGTGTTCCTGGGTTGCATGGATAAGCTGCAGCAGACATCCTTTGAAGCATCTTCATTCCCTGAGACTGTTGTTGTGCGATATGTTCTTGCATTGAGGAGCAGTTAATCTTCTTGATGGCGGAGTCACACAAATCTTTGGGCACTCTAACAATCATGGACTTTCACGAGCTTGGCGGAGAAGCCCGGTCGCTTGCACAGAAGAACATGAAGGGCTTGCAGCCACCGAAGAAGGCCTCCAAGAAAGACCCCCACAACGTCGATGCGAAGAAGATCTTTGTAGAGGCTCAACAGGTCTTTAACCTGGCGGAGAAGAAATGGAAGGACAGGATTCTGGCCGTTCTGGAGCATCTGGGTTGCATCGACGTTCAACCGTGTAATTTTGTCCGTCACTATGAATCCCAGTCTTCTCTGTGTCCCGAGGAAGTTGCTGAGCAAGAGCCGCAAGAACACGGTGCTTCAGTTCCAAACGGTCGTTCAGTTGAGGAAGAGTCTCTTCCCGAGGATTCGGGACAATGTCAAGGGATCCAAGCGCTTTCCCGAGCAAGTGCAGTCTTTGATTGAGAAGCTCAAGCGAGATGCGAAGGATGACCTGGAAAAGGTCGAAGCCAAGGTCATGTCGAAAGGGCCAAAGGCCGATCAGCGCAGAGACTCGGAGACGGGGGACGGTGGCCCCGCCAAAAAGAAGAGGCGCCGATCCAAGGGATCCAAGGGCAATCCTGACGAGGAATCCACAGTGGAGAAAGAGGATAGCGACGATGACGACGACGGGGACGATAACGACGAAGAGGGCTCAGATGAGAGCTCAACGACACAAGTCTTGCCCGGCGGTGGCCCACAGGTCGGAATCCCACCGGATGATTCCGACCTGTGGGCAGATCCGAAGTTTCAGCAGTTGGTGCCCGCCGTTCCCGCTCCGGCCGTTCCCGCTCCGGCCGTTCCCGCTCCCGCCGTTCCCGCTCAGGCCGCTCAGGACTCCGAATCTCGACTTGAAGCTCAGTGCAGCTGTGATCTTCCGGGTTAGAAATTCCAGAGGTGCATGCTGTTGCAAACTCGGCCCAGGCACTTCCTGATGTCCGCGAACGTTTGGCTGCTCAAGGAGTCCGAAGTGCCAGCGATCTCTTTGAGAAGATGCTAGCTGACGAGGCAAGACCTGTGTCCTACAATCATTCCGGAGCAGTGTCCTCACCTTTGTTCCATCTGGGCAGGCGATGTGCCAGGCCGTTCTGGACGCCATGTCCACCAAGCCCGGCCAGTCCTGAGAGCTTGGTTGTCACAGCTCTTGCTGAGGCGATTGTGAAGCGCCCGCCATCTGGGCTCTCCCTCTAGGTCGTCGGTGCTAAACATCGGCCGTTCTCTTCTGGTGTTCGGGAGAGTTTGGATGACCCTGGTCTGTAGTGGTGGGTTCGACTAACTGAGGGCCTGTCAGCGACACACGTGCAAAAAAGAATTCCTGCGGGTCTGCGGGTTTTCTCCGCTGCTGCGGGTCTTCTCCGCTGCTGCGTGCCTTCTCGATAGATTTTTTTTTTTTCGGGGCCGGCTAAAATAATTGAGAAGACCACGTCACCGGGAGAAGACCTGATGGCTTGTTTACACCACAAACGCACCATGTGGTCTTCTCCGCGACTGCGTGCCTTCTCGTTTGTTTTTTGAAAACCGAACAGACAAAAAAAAAAAATGAACCACACGAGATGACTGTATGACTTGTGGAAACTCCTGAGAAGACCTCCTCACTTGTGGAAACCAGCAGAAGGAATTGTCGGTTGTGCAGAGCCAGATGAGCTGAGTTTAGGCAGAAGTCCCGGGGCTGCAGTCTTTGCCGAGGTCCGACTGCCACGCATCGCACACCCTCGCCGGACGATTTGGTCAGGCCGCTCCGGTTCCCTGCTGATTCCTGAGTTACGGGTTGTGGGTTCTGAAGCTGCGGAATTCCACCACTTTGGGATTGGGGCCATTTGACTTTACCAGCCAGCCCAGGTTGGCTTAGGCAGGAACAGGACAGGCTTAATCTAGAGCTTGTCTGACAGAGCACAATTCCGTTGTGTGGAGCCCAGCTTACAGTCTCATATTGTACCATGTTTGCTCGGGGTTTTGTATGAGAGAGCGACTCTCTTATGGAACAATGGTAGCCTTGCTTCTGGTTGTGCATGCAACACATTGTCCTCGACAAAACTTAGGCTTGTGTCTATTCTGACCTGTTGTTGGTCCCTTCACGTAGGTTCCTGCATCCTGTGAAGGAGTAGTGCATACTGTTCTTGATCCGTGCATTCATGGGATGCATGGGCATCCGCACTTAAGGTCGGCAAACAAAATCGATGTGGACGTGTCTCCGACCTGGTCTCTGGCGAGGCCTCTGCAGATTCGAGAGACTTGTCGCCTTAGATTCAGTGGGAGGGCTCTAGAACCTGTGGAGTGTTATAGAAGCAAGAAGTCTTTTGCCCCAGTGGACAATACAATCCTCCTTGGCCACCCCCCTCCTCGTTGCAGCAGTACTTCCTGTTTTCGCCTCGAAACATGAATGGCTCATAGAGACACTGCAGTCGATTCGCTCGCATGCAAGCGAACAATTTGAAGCGGAGGCTTCGACACATGAGTCTTTGCCATGTTGAAATGATAATGGTACAGTCCAAGCAGGTCATGAGCAATTGTCCCATATAACATCAGAATGTGTAAGTAGAATTGATATAACACAGCCAATCCTGCCAAAAATGGAGGTTGAGCCGGCCCAAGGGGAGCAGCCGCGACAAAAGATCTTGTCTCTGTTTTTTGCAAAGAGGGCCGAGCCTGAAAAACTGCAGAAGCTCGTGGTCACCTTGCAGTTCGCGGCAAAGAATGCTCGTCCGCTGTCCACTCTGGACAATCAACCTCCTCTTGCTCCGATCCTGGATGAATGTGTCAGGGAGATCCGGCTAGCCGTCGACTTCCCCTTGCCGCCGGACGAGGGGGAGAGGGAAGCTCCAGCCCTGAGCCTGCTGGATCAGGAGATCGCAAAGATCGCTGAGAAGACTGCTGCCGGTGACCCGGACGTCGTGCAGCACTCGCTGGTTTTTCTGCGGCATCCGATCGCTCTGACATTCGTCAAGGTACCTTGCTGCACTAGGTGTAATTTGTCTCAGTTTTAGGGCTGCGAGGCCTGGAGAGCTCCGAGATTCCTGGTATTATGTCTTGCTTTTCCTCATGCATCCCGAGGTCGTTCCTACTGCCAAGCACCACGGTCAGGGCTACGAGTATTTGGTCTGCATGGCAGACGTTTGGCGGATTCTGGACATGTCCGTGAGCTACTATGCATGGTTCGGAAAGAACCTACACAAAGGCCTTTTCTCGGAGGCTTCGCAGCGATGGGAAGTTTCCATGCGCCACTTGGTAAGAACAGACACATACAAGGGCGAGCATGAATCAGTTTACATGCTGCCTGGTGTCAAACACGATTGTTCTAGCTCGCTGGGTTTGCTGCTCGTGTTCGCTATGTTGACTGTCATTCGTGGCCTTAGCCTCGAGACACAGAAGAACATCATTGGATTCTTGCGAAAGATTTTCTCCCTGGTCAAGATGGATTGCTTGGCCCTCCTGCCGGACTGCAGCTTGCAGGTTCAGGAGGGATGTGTCAGCATCAAAAAGTTCTTCAAGAAGTTCGGAGCAGATGCTACGCGAATCTTGAACAAAAGGCCAGGGGTTGGCTTAAACTCCTTTGACACGGCCTCACCTTCTTTTTGCCCTTGCATTCAGGTGGGAAAGTGCCTTGGCACTGGGTCACTCCAGATCCAACTACCGGGGCAAAGTCGCAATTGCTGATGTTTGGTTCTTCATGTTTAGGCTGCAGCCAGAGGAAGCATTGCAGTGCATCCCGATTGAGCGGGTGCAGAAGCGGCTCCTCCACATCCTCGCACAGGCAGTCGAGAGGAGCTGTGCAGATGGTTCCATCAAGCTCCACACAAGCCCTGGACTCTCCGAGGATATGGACGGCCAATCTCCGTATTCCAGCGGCAATGCGAGCCGCACGGCCAACCTTGTTCGAGAACAGCTCTTGACTCGATTTCTTGCACGTGGCAGCGGATTTATAACAGGCATGCAGAACAAAGATAACAAGGACATCGTGCCGGATAAACTTCCAGGCACGAAATCCCGCAACCTTCAAGGGGTCGCAGCGGATCAATTTGTGACGGCATATTTTGCAAGCTCTGCAACTCTCCTGTTGGAGCGGCTTCAGAAACAGGTCTTCCGACACTTGACATGGTACGAAGATGCATCGTCCGTGGCCACTCACAATGTCCTGACCATCCACTGCTCTTGTGATGGCTTGATTATCACTTGTCCTCTGAGCTTGCTGCCGGCACTGAAGACCACCAAAGAGACGACGATCCAAGAAAACTTGGAGACAGTCGAGGCCCTGGGAGATGTGGCCTCTCAGAATCCAAAGAGCCTTCGAAAAAATCTCTGTAAGGACGAAAAAGTGTCCACCAGACAGAAGATGTTGGCCTTGAACCACTCGCTGCACCAGCTCGTTCGGTTCCGGTTGTCGGACGCTCTTCCGGCTCGGAAGCTCAGGCCAGTCAAGGAGGGCGAGACCCGGCATTATGTTCAGAAAGACGGGCTCAAGCGAGCTTATCTTTGGCATGCTCAGACAAAAGCTGCAACATGGCAATCGACGGATCATGTGGGGTTCGACAGCTGCCTTCGGCTCAGCTGCTTGCAAGACGAAGGCGACACAAGCATGGCCGTTCAGATGGCCAATCACGGCCTCTCCATCATGATCCATAGAGATTCCATGCATAAGCTCCACCGCGAAGAATGTTTGGCCGCTCAAGACGTTCCCGAGGTCGCTCTCTCCAAGAAGCAGGTGCTCCTGATCATGAAGTACGACAAGGCTCCGTGGAAGACCTCGGCCTTCGGCCGACGGTTGCGGGAGGCGAGTGAGCTTGTGGAGGCGATCCCGTGCACGCACCGGCTGGTGCAAATGGTCGCTCCCGGCATTCTCCACGATTTGGGGATGGACCCGGCCTCTCCTCTCGAGGCAGTGAAGGACGTTCTCGTCAAGTACGCCAAGGGTCATCTGGGCACAGGGTCAGACCATAGTTCCGGGAGATGGGCCGATTATGTGGATTCCTTCGGGCGGCTCCGCAAAGAGTGGCACTTGCGGCTCTTTTTCATGCTCTATGCGGACGTTCTGGAAGGCAAGAATCCGCTGCACTGCCTGGCCGCTCGCACGGACGATGACAAGGCTCTTGGCCCTCAGGTCATCAAGGTGCCTTGGACACAGAACTTGGCAGGTTTTCGGAATGTCTGACAAATAATCGGTTCGCTTCCTGATCTGCTGTTGCCTCCGAGGTCTTGCTTCGGCCTCTCTCTTTCGCCTACGGCAAGTCTGCTTTCCACGTCTTGCGGCCGTTCCGCACGTTCCAAGCAACAGAGGTGCCGTGTTTTGGGACATGTATTTTTATTTCTTCTTGACAAATGAAACCTGTTGGGTTTTCAGGTTGTCTGCTCCAGGCTGGAGGGGATGGCAGGGTTTCCGCCTTCGGAATTTGCAAGGCAGAATTTTTTTCCGCTGCGATACGTGTTGGAAGACACGCCCTTGTTATCTTCGAGTGCCAGACTGAGAAAATACGGCAATCGCACCTTGCTCTGTCGTGACTTCCTGACTGTGTTGAGGCACAGTCCAAAAATCAGTACCTTCTTTGACTCTCTTTGACTGGTTCGAGAAAAAGCCGCAACGACCCCCGCAGTCAGGCTTTACGCCAACAGCCAGCAGAAGCATAGAATCTAAAAGCAAGCCTTCTGTTGCAATCCCGCCTTGCTCATGAAGAAGTGTGGGTGGGTGGGTGTGTGTGTGTGTGCAGCAGGGATCCTTTGCTCCGGTTTGTTTACGCCGCTGTCAGTGCATGGAAACGATGCACAATGTTGCCTACGAACAGGTGCAGGTCGAGAAGACACCCGAGGGGGCCGCTCGCATGAAACGGTACATCGCTCTGGAGTGGCCCAACTTGGTCTTGTCTATCATGCAATCCGCCTTGGACCGCCATCATCTCGAAGACATCGTGTGGAACGTGGATCCCGAGGACGTTCCTTCATTGCTGAATGTGCATTTCAAGCACACCGTGGCCACTCTGAGGCGGCTGGCAGAGTTCGGGCTCCTCTACGGGTCGTTCCCATGGCGGTTCTTTCTGGTGTGTGACAGCGATGATCACGTGGCAGCCCGGACGCTCAAGGAGATGAAGGACGAGTGGACGTTCCTGCTCCGCCAGGA